GCAAAGCTCGTTCAGTATGGCATAAATATCGATCCCCTATGCTCAAGTTGTGGGGTACCGGAGACCGCTGAACATGTTGTACTTACCTGTACGGTCTATGAGTCACTGAGGGCGAAACTGTTGAGAGAAACAGGTCTCTTTGTCCTAACAGAGAGAGATCTTCCTCAACTTATGGCCAAAGACAAATACGATCACTTCAAACGTTTCATATACGGATGGAAAGAAGTTGCACTACCAACCCACTTCTCTTTGGGAAGAAGAAGAGAAGCTGCACCAGGGAGGCCACCAGAATTAGAAGAAAAGAAAACCAGATGCAAGTGAAGAGAACAACAAGCTCTGTGCACAGCGCAGAAAAATAATGTAATATCCAAAAAATGCAGCAGTGGGTTGTTATGTAACAGTAACATCCCACTGCTGCAAATACCCGTAATGCCTTCAGGCAGGGGAGAGTTGAAAATAAATAAATCGTGTCAAAAATATCTGGTGTTTCATATAGATTTCTGACTTCCTCGTTTGTTTTCATCCGCCAACAATATCCTTCTTTTCTGGCGGTTTTTCTTCATACATGTTTAACAGCCTTTCATCTTTGCGTGTCAGCGTCCAGGACTCGGTTCCATACAAGACCACTGCCTGAAGAATCGTACGATACTTTCTTATTTTGAGAGTTCTGGATATATTCCAGTTTCAAATATTTTCATTAGAGACCATTAGCCAGCTGCTATCCTTGCCATAATTTCTTCTATAATCTTATTATCCTCAAAGTACAATAAGGTCCAACAATTCATTCACATTTCATTCAAATTTACTATCCTAAAAACACCAACTTTGGAATTAAATTTCATCATGAGAAACATTTTTAAAATAATCATTCCTTGTACATTCTATATCACCAGCTATATATATGGCTTGAGGAATATATTAAATTTTTTGAGAAAATAAAATACTTGAAAATCAGAATTTGATCCCTGATTTTAGCGTTTCGGAAGATCTTCAAGGACGCTTGCCAATTGTTAGAAGAAATAATCAATTTCGACCTATCAATACAGAAACTGTACTTAAGAAATGTTTAATAAACCTAAATTCAAATATTACATAATATAAACCAGCTTCAGAAATAAAGTTAATTGTTTAAGGGGGTAAGAAGACGTCATTAGGACAGAAGCGTCGAATATCTAAGGTGGCCACTGATTATGACTGCTAGAATCGGTATATAATATTATTTATATATATATATATATAATATATATATATATATATACCGATACTGTAACTGTAGACTAGTTGGAGATTAATATGTATATATATTCTAATAGTGAGTTAATTCTCTACAACTTCTTTTAAATAAATTTCTTTTTCTGATGAATATCTCAGACGATATGAAGGAATATTGCTGATGAAAAATGTGAGGCAAAATGATTTTTTTCGAAAATGTTTATCTTTTTCCGAAATCAATTTAGAATTTGGATAAAATCTATAAAATTAAAGTTTTAGATAATTTTATAATCTTTAATTTACTATACTGCTCTCGATCAATCTCCGCTGGCTTTAGTACCAGTGATGCGGTTGTTCCCTCGCCTGATTGTATATAGGTATGCGTGTGTTTTTTTTTTTAGTTTTAATTTTATTATTTCTTAGGTTATTTTATTTTATTATTTATTGTATATACATTTGATTATTATTATGCTTCTATGTATTTTATATTTTTTGTACATATAATGTGAATGTTATCCTACCTCATTATAACTAATGTCCAAGAGACAGATTGTCCCAACAAATAAAAAAAAAAATTTACTATACAAAAAATTTCTCCGGCGACGGACCGTTTTCGAGATATAAGCGAACATCCAAAAACTGTCCCTCCTCATCACTCCACTCGGCTCATCACCTAGACATCACCTTTTTAGTCTCTTAGTTCTATTGATTGGAGGACATGTCTAAGTCTTTTATTAGTATGCTTTATTAGTATGTTGTTATGTATATTAGTATGTTCGTGTAAATCAGTGAAATAGTTGATAAAGATTCCTTGTATTGGCCCTTATGTATTGGTCAACGTTTACAAGGTGGAAATCGGTATGTAGGGTTTTGTACACACTAATCCAGTCTATGGGTACTCGAAAAGAAGGGGATATAGAAGGAAATGGTGGGAACCCAATGTTTTACTTAGGGACATTATTTTGACTAGTAAGGAGGTAAACAAAATAAAAGTCCCCACTCCTAGGTGGTGAGCCAGATGTGGGGGGGAGGAGGGGAAAGAGGTGCTTCCCTTACATTTAATCCTAGATGCATACACTTTTGTTTTTTGTTATTGTTCTATTCTAATAGTCTATTTTACCTTACTGACAGACACTTCACAGTCAATCATAACAATGCTCATTCATCACTTTTTACTCAGTCTTCCGGTGTTCCTCAAGGTAGTATCCTAGGTCCTATCCTTTACACAGTTTATACAGCTGACATCCCAACCCAATCCAACACTGTCATCACCTCCTATGCCAATGACACGTGTATCCTATCAGTTAATAACGATCCATCTATTGCATCTCGAACGCTTCAATCACACATCACAAGTCTTGAAAAATGGTGTCAAGAGGATTAAAATAAAATATGGTGGAGGATTAAAATAAATTCCAATAAATCCCATCAAATTACCTTCACTCTTCGCCGTAAACCTATGACTTCCTGTCCTACAGTATCCTTCAACAATAGCCCTCTTATCCCTGTAGAACAAATCCGATACTTAGGACTCCACCTTGACAAACGACTCACTTGGAACCCCCATACCGGACTGAAACGACTGGAAACCGCTCGACGTTTTCGTCTACTGCAGCACTTACTAGACAAACGCTCTAAGCTCACAATCAATTACAAATGACTCATACATATGACAATAATAAGACCTATTTGGACTTACGAAATTGAGCTTTGGGCTCCACTAAACCATAGAATTCCTCTCGTATCCAATATAAAAAATATTCTAATAACAGGATATTGTATAACTCTAAATTATGGTGTTCTGAGTTGTATTTCCATATTCCTAATAGTTACCTCACAGTAACCGTATAAAAATGAAGAAAAAAAAATAAACCTGGTTATACTTACCCTACTACACCCTAATATAGCTGTAAATTTCAATAATTGAAAAATAGTTGTTGTTTTTTAATTTTTAGGATAGAGTAAGATCAAATTATTATCCTCGAATAACATAAAAATATTTATTACAAATACTCAATAGAAAATTAAATAAAAAAATGGATTAAGTAAGGTTTTATTTAACTTATTTATTTTAAGCCATCGAATTCCTCTCGTATCCAATCCTTACAATCCAAAATCCTTTGTAAAATCCTCAACGCTCCTTACTTTGTCACAAATAAAATCATCCATAAAGATCTTAATGTTCCATAAGTTTCCGATTTGGCCCAATCCAGTATCTATCTTTCCATAACAAACTGCAAAACCATCCGAATCCTCTCGTTTCAAACCTTGCTTCCTCCTCGATCCCTGATAATCCTCCGAGGCGTCTGAAAAGAAGATGGCCTCGGGACCTTCTAATATAGAACTTTAATTTGAGTTCTACCAATGGGTAGTTTCTCTTCATGTTGTACATGTCATGTTACCAATGTCACATTTACTTATTGTATTTTCCATGTAATACAGTTGTAAATCTCAATAAAATAAATTTAAAAAAAAAATAGTCTATTTTAGTCGATTTTAGGATAATTTACAACTGTTTAATATTTGATTCGTTATTGTTTAATATCACTAATATATCCGGTCCTAGAGATAATCTGTTTAAGCTTAAGGGCTTCATAAGAGCATTCTTGAAAAATAGGACTGATAGATGTCTATATCAGTGTTGACATTTTGGTGGTGGCTGTCTAATAATGAGATGTAAATGAGTTGATTTGTGTGTCCTATTCTCAATCTACTCACGGCTACCTCCTCGATTAGTACGGTTTAATGTGGTCCAAGGCTACACTGATTTCTTTAAAAAGTTTAATTTGCTATGTGAACATCCGTTCCATTGCCAACTATGCAATTCTTAGTTTTTAAGAGGATAACTCATTTCTGGAGGGGTCAAAATAGCAGTCAGTACCTCGCCCTGGGAGCGCGAGTGCTTGATTGGCTACCGTATATGCAAGCTCATTACCAAGTATTCCCACGTGACTGGGAACCCATATAAAGCAAACAGATTTGTAAGCAGGTATTTTTGGCTGAACCGTATATATGTGAGGAGTACGTCCATAAAGGTTTGAGTAAATATATGTATGTGTTTAGTTTCTGTCTCTGCTCTATTTCTGAGGATTTTGAAAATGTTTGAGGCGTCTAATAAAGGTCTTTTAGTTATAAATTGGAGAGTAGATCTTCTAAGGGTAAACGCGTTTCGATTCATCAAGGTTTAGTCGAAGTTTCCATAATTTGTACCACTTGTGCATTTTTTCAAGTGGTGCGGTAGTGAGTGAGATTATATAGGATCTTGATATTTTGTTAGAATTGCTGTATCGTAGGCAAGGTATGATCTAAGTGTAGGGAAGTAATACATACAATAAATATTAGAGGAGCCAAAAGTGAACCTTAGAATACAGCCTCCAAGACTAATAGAAGAAATTTCTGAGCCCTTCCGAACTGAGGAAAATCTCTCGAAAAGGAAATATTGAAAAACCTGGAAGTATGAAGTATGTGTATGCTATTTGGACTTAAGTAATAATATTAAAAGTTCCTATTTAGTTGAGAACTTTCATTTATTTTCCGTTAAATAATAATATTTTATTTCCAGAAATTAGTAGTATTTATATATATATATATATATATATATATATATATATATATATATATATATATATATATATATATATATATATACATTATATATAAGACTTATATTGTATTTCTTATTTGTTTTCAAGTTGGAAACATTTTAAAAGCATTTGTTTTATTGAATTTAAATTTTTAGTTCTATATTTTACCACCATTTGTCTTCCTTTTTTTTTTAATACTTAAGAATGAGGAGATATGCCTTAATTACTGAAGTTATTATTTTCCCATTTTCCTCCATTGATCAAAGCTGAAAAATATATAGAAACAAAATAGGGTTAATGTAATTTCAGTGAAATTTCTTTACTATAACCCTTCGTATAAGATTATTATTATTATTATTCGTAGAGGGTATTATTATTTATTGTTAAGAAACTAAAAGAAAAATTGAATTTGAAGTTTTGAATTTAAAATATAACTGCAGACTGATTTATTCTTGACATAAATATATTTGAACTCCTTTGTTTTGAATATTTTAAATACACGGCATAAATACACGGGCACGGATTCGTATGAATTGGTGGAATGAACTAAGCTCGTGTTCGTCTTATTTAGTTCTCAGAAATCTTGTTTAGTAAAAACGAGAAATAAAATATATAAGAATATATGAGTGTATTTTGTTGTTCTCCGATGAATTCGAAGTAGTGTGAAGAGTTTTATAATAAAACAAAAATATAGAAAGAAGAATGAGGTCTAGAAAGAAAAAGACAAAGGGTAAAGGCATGAGATTTGTATAAAAGAATTTTTTATCATCGCTGGAATATTATTAGTCAAGTGAGTATTATTGTCTAGATTCGGAATGGTTTTTGCATTAAAAACAAAACCACTTCTTTTACAAAACCACACGAAGGAGAAGAGCTCTCGACAAGTAAGAAAAAGATTATTGGAGATGTGGAGTGGTCCACTGGGATTTAAGCCCCGGATCCAGTTTCAAGTCTGGATTTAGTTGAACAGTACTATCGGCCGCACATCAGCTTTAATAAGTAGTGAAACTCTCATATGGCACACTTATCCTCTATAAACGTGGCAGTTGATCATGATCCAACTACTATAACTAATACATGATCCTTTCACAAAGTAACAGTGTAATTTCTTTACTAAACGCTTTGCTACATACTCGAGTATTATTTAATATTATTTATTTGTCAAAAAGATAATCTTTTAATGGACACCAAGCCATTGTGGTATACACAGAAATAAAGGAGCAGATAAACTGGCCAAAGAAGAAACAGTATTAGAGCAGCCATATAAGCATATATCATTACAAAGAATTAAGGAAGAAATGAAAATGGCAAAACAGGTTGCAATCCTAGAACCTCTTAAAATAGCTAAAATTGGAAAGAAATGGAGCAAATCATTAATTGAAGAAGAAAGGGTACCAGTTGACCTGTCGAGAGAGGATGCGGCACCTGAATTTCGTATGGTCAGTGGACATGACATTGAAGAAATATCTTTGTAAAACAGGTGTGGCAGATTCCCCACTCTGTAGTCTTTGCAATGTCGGAGCAGTGACGGATGCAAACTATTTAAACTAATGCTATTGCTTACTGAACTTCAGAAATCGTTCAGCCCTGGACGCATAGAACTTTAATGTTGAAAGCTGAAGAAGATAGGCATAATAATAAAATATTATTTATTATTAGATCAGAGTTTATTAAAAGTATAACATTTCCTTCTATAATTATAGAATTTTATTATAATCATACATTGACTGGACTATTTTTATATATTGTTTTTATCAAATTACCTCATTTGATTTTTCCAAGTATTGACACTATTTCTGAAGGAATTTACTTTATAATATTAACATCAGTATAAGTTACAAGTTATAATATTAAAACTTACTTCAAAATTATATAACTTACGTATAACCTCTTTGTACATCAATATTCAACTATCTATAGATTCATTCTTGAATATAGTTTACATAAATAATACTGTAATACTCTAGTTTTTCCGGCTTTCGAAATTGATGAAGTTAAAATATTTCAGATGCAAAAATTCTGTAGACCAGAAACATCCTTTTTAAAATATATTTCTATATATATATATTAAAACAATATCTCTAAAAGAACATTTCTTTCTTTTTTAAGCTTGTTAAAATAAATCAAATACCACACAAACATTATTTTATATAGTTTCGTCCAGAGTAACTAGCGTTATAAAATTTATAGAGCGCTATGGGAACATCAAAGACTGTTTCTCCCTCCAGAAAAGATCACCAAATTGATCCTTAACCTTTAGTTACTAGTTTATCTAGTAATATTTTTCAATCTCCCTCCTAACCGTACTGATCAAAGCATAATTATGCTCACCACAAATATATATGTGATTATTTTATTTATACTTTTCATTTCATTGGAATCATTAGCGGATCCAATCTTCAATTTTGGATGAGGTTTTTTTTTTTTATATGCATATAACGATAATTACTTTAGAACAAGAGGAAAGATCATAATTACTTGCGTAAAGGTGTTTAAGAGATTCATTCAACTTTTACAACTTTCTTTTCACCGCCTCCCACAGCATCCACAGACATCACAGAAGCAACAACAGCCTCCTGAGCAGGTTCTCCAGAACACTCTGACGAATTTAGATTTTTTTTCATTGTTCTTAGGTCCGTTCAAAATTTGATCTCTTCATCCGGGACCATGTATACCACACACATGATTAAAAACAGTTTTTAAAAGCAAAGTGAACCTGTATATACCTATACGTAAATTAAAAATAGACAGAAGAGGCATGCATACATGCCAATATAAACATTTAAATATCAAACCAATAGCCAATATAAAATGAATAAAAGTTAAAAAATTTTAAATCTATAAAATCAATTGCTTAAGAATAAGTTAAATATAAAATCAATGACATCCAATTTAGACAATAAAAAGTTAATGAATAATTTAAATTCTATCAAAATTAAGCTAAAATATAATAGTCCGCGGTACAGGCCCCCTTTTATCAAATTATTAACACCCGCTTGAAACTTCATAAATAGTTTTATCTCATCGTAACCTACAAATATTTTATTTACATAAACTATTGGAATTGAGACGTTTTCAATCTGGAGGGGAGCAATCATTGTCTATTTAATTAGACTCTAAAAACTCTTAAATACACATTTACTTTCTACTTGCATCGTAATATAATTTGATAACAAAATCGAGAAAAAATGTGGCCTTCGAAAATATTGAACAGTTTAACGTGACCTACACCTCCAAATTTTCAAAATAACGAGGTTATATAGGACAAACGGACCATTATTATTGTAGGCCACCTTGTTTTATCTATTTTGGGATCAAATTATCTTACGATCTAAGTTAACAGAAAATGTGTATTTATGAGTTTTTAGTACGTAATTAAATAGACAAAGTATGCTCCACTTCAGATTGAAAACGCCCCAATTCCTAGAGTTTTGTAAATAAAATAATTTAAGTTACGATGAGATGAAATTATTTAGTAACTTTCAGGCGGATTTTAATAATTCGATAAAAAGTCGTCTGTATCACGGACTGTAAAATGAAGTTAAAATAATAATATAATTTGCTTAAAAATAAGTAAAAATATATGAAATGAATAATGTCAAAAAAGTTGAAATCTATGAAAACAAGTTAAAATGTACAATTAACTTTTTTGATTTTTTAAAAATATTTTTCATAAGAAACGGTTATATTTTAACATTTGGGGGAGAGAGGGCTTTTTGGCAAAAGCTCCCTTTCCCTGTAGATCCGCCTGTGATTGGAAGTATATCCGTTGATGTACTGCGACCGAATGCGTCGCACCTTTGATTTGCCATTTTAAACATAAAGCAGAAAGATGCATACAGAAATACATTTTTTTTTTTAATTTTAAATTTCAATATTTTTGAAAACAATAAGGAGTGTGCGAAAAGTGGAGGTTAGGATAAAGAAGTGACAACAATGCTTTAAAAATGTATTTAACAAACATACCTAAATTTTCTGTGAGGTTACAAACACGCAATTATCCTGATAAACTAGACAGAATTTCGATCAAATTGTTTGTTGTTAACTTTATTGGTAATATTTCATCTTGGTTGGTGGCAGTAATATGCATTCTATTAAGAAAATATACCTAATAATAATAAGCGTATTATTTTTATATTAACGTTTGGAAAAACTGGCCATCAAAAGCAGTTCAATAATGGTTCCATTAGAAAGGCCAATGGCGCAATATCCTTGCACAATTCGGAGCGGATTATCAGCTATTGATAGCGCCTTCATCTTCTCTACTGTACGTGCTTACAGCTCTGGAGCTTCATCTCCTTTCATCAAAGGAGAGCTCCTGAGATATCAAAAGAAAATGATAAAGTTATTAATTACACAACCCAATGAATAAAATGGTTGTAGAAAATTTTTAAACCAACAACTAAATCATTGTACCTATAATTCTCTCAACATACGAAATTCACTATATATTTTTTATAGATTATAAGAGGAAAATATTTGATTGATAAAAACTGAAAATATAGTTTTGTTTATTAGGTTCCAATTTTTGTTTACTTTCACTTACCTATATATATAATATATAGTAAGTGAATATTTTCGAATCTGAGTTTTCAACGGAAATACTCGACTGGGACTAAATAACCAAGTCCCGCAAAATGGTCTGTATGTCCCAAAAAATGTATGTAAGTGGTAAGCCTAGCTCAAAAAACGAAAAGTCGTAAGAAACTGATATTAAGCATTTAATATAGGTGTATGTCTTGGATGTGACCGCAACTTCATATCAACGCTTATACATATTATTACAATTTTCTCAAAAACGGCTCCAACGATTTTGATTAAACTCGGTGTATCATAGTTTAATTAAGTGGTCTTTAATATCAATCAGGTCTTATCCCTATGGATGTCACTTAACAGGGTTTATATGTTCAACATGTCTTCCTCTAAAGTGCCTTTAATTTGTTTTATTTTAAATAATTTATCTCACATTATTAAGAGTTTCTAAAAAATGCTAAATACAGCTTTTGAAAGGATTTGATAATTGACAAATGGAAAATGTTGATTTAGGTCAAAAATTAATTTCCTAAAATACTAGTCACAAGATATGCGTTGGAAAGCAGAGAATTTTAGAAAAAAATAATATCTAATATAGAAAGTCGTAGAAATTAATGGAGGGAGTCAAAAAATTACAAATAATAATTTGTGAAAACTAATGTTATTTAACGGAAATCACATGTTTTGAAGGAAATTAAAAGAAATTTACCAACTAAATTTTAAGTTTGAAAAAAGTATTTAAAATCCACCTAATCAAGGCAATGGCATTGTTTAAAAAACTATTTTGTAGTACTTATGTGAAAGAAGAAGTGAAATATAAAAATATTTCAGGGGTTTATAAAGCATATGTTTATAACCTTAAATACTCTAGATCTGATATTTTTTTTTAAATAATCTGATATTTTTTAAAAATAATTATGTATCGAAATCCGTTTATTCCGAAAAAACCTGTCTCTGGCAGGTAATGAAAATTTCGTAATTTCTTTCTATAAAACTTTGCAATTGAAAATTACAGTTTAATGACTAATAGACTATCTATAATCATTTATAGGTTGAATATAGAGATATACTTTCAAATCTGTATAGGCGTATATGTATTGCTCAGTAACTGGATTTAAGTGGTTTACAAAAACAGATGGAATACCGATGTTTTTATTGTCTACTGTTGATATCATTAATATGTTTTTTGTTATTTTAACAGTATTAATGATTTAATCTGTAGCTTCGTTGGAAGTGTACTACAAAAATTTTATAATTGCTCAACATTGTAAGAAAATAATTACTGTTCAAAGTAGTAAAGTAAGTGAAAGTTGTGTGTTGCGCGCACCACATTTTTTTTTGCCCTTATGCATCGGTATATTAACCAATACACCTGGGTTACAATTTTTATTTACGGTAATATTAAATTACTATAATTCGAATATTTCAAGTATTTATTTGTATATATTTATTTATTTATTTATTTATTTGTATACCTTTCCCTGTTCTCTGCAATGTTTCTAGTGAAGCGATTATATCTAGTTGTCTAAAAATATCACATTTTATATAGCCCGTGATACAGACCTCTTTCAATCAAATTATTAACATCCGCCTGAAACTTCGTAAATAGCTTTATCTCATAGTAACCTAAAAATATTTTATTTGCGAAGATTATCGAAATTAGGCGCTTTTAATCTGGCAATCAGAAAACTTTGTCAATTTAATTAGGTACTAAAACTCATTCCTTCCACCTGACTCGTAAGTTGCCGTTTCGCCTTCATGATCTCGCTATTTTGACATTTTTGGGGCAGAGGTTACGCAAAATGACCAAATATATTTGTAGGCCACCTTTTTTTTTTTTTTTATTTAGAGATGTTATCTTACGATTCAAATGGAAACCAAAAACTATTTACATAGTTTAAGGTGAATGTTAATAATTTAATAAAAAGGGGTCTGTACTAGGCCTAATAATAGCTAATGATATGGTAATAAAATGCTTAATATAGTTGTATAAGGGAATTGTTGAAAAAATACAAATATTTGAGTAACTAAAATTTAACTATAATATAAACGAAACAGCTATGTGTCATAAAAAGAATGAGAAATGCAGCTGCAGGATTGTAAATTAAAGAAAAAGAAAAAAAAAAAAGGAATGTTTTACAAACGGGAGATACAAATACATAAATTATGCTTGACAATTAACAAATCGTAAAGCGTAGTAACTCCAGCACAATATTTTAATACCGTAGTAACCCCCAAGGACAATTGTCTTGCCAATACTTAATAACTGTACATTTGAAAATTTAATAATTAGTGAAAAAAGAATGTAATTTTTACCATGCGGTCCTATAACAACTGTTAATAATAGATCGATTTTTTGTTATCGACCTGGGAAAATCAATTGCCCAAAGAGGTAGACAGAGGGTAGGACTGGAATAAAAAATCAGCGCGAGGTACTGCAGGCGTCATGACGTCACAAGAGGACAAGTAACAATAACAATGCGTGAATTTGTTTTGGTCGCAGCAAAATGAAGAAGTCATTTTCTGGAAATTCAACGGTGGATTTAGCTGGCTGTATGACACCGATGCACTCATACTATTTGGCGAAAGTTGAAGCTAATTATCTAAATATTATTTCCTTTCCTTCATGACCTGTTAATTTGTTTAGAAAACGATTTTTGTTTACTTGTTGAATTAGAATATTATTTATTCCATTTATGTTTATATACGAAAATTTGTTTTTTGACAATATTTAGTTTTTGAATGGGATCATTCTGATTAACTTTTTCATGATAATAATTAACCAATATCACAACACTTGTATAGCTTTTTCTCTGATATTCGATTTGTTGTGAACTGACCAACAGTAATCACTAATCCCATCTATAGTGTAGCTTTTTAGATCGTTTCACGATCACTTAATGAAACCGTTAAAATCAAGATAATTATGCAAGATAAAGACTTTAAGGCTCATCTCAAAACCTAAAGTTTTTAACTTGTATATTTGCTACGATAAGTTTATAGTAGATGCTTTCACATTGCCCTTATCTTAGGTCGATTTTTAGCATAGATGCAGCCAACTGTTTTTTGTATACGCATCGATTTATTATTTTTAATGGACCCTTGAAATCGACCAAG